CGGTTAACCGACTGAGAGCTTTGTTGAAGTAATCGAGTAACTCTATGACCTGGTCTGATCGAGTTTGACGAAATTGAAGCCGTGAGAATAATATTTTAAGCTTTTTAAAGAGAAATTAATGAGCTTATTCATGTTCGTGTAAATACAAAAAGCTAATAAGTAAAAGGAAATAAGTCTGTGACATAGTGTTAAAATAAAGCAAAGTCAGGACATTTTCAATATAAAAAAATCACAATTCCGTCATAGAATATAGGACAAAGGTAACGACCTCAGATCCCTAATAGTCACACAAACGGTTCATGACCCACAAAGAAGGTCGGTTTCTGTCAGAATAGGAAACCTACGCTAAGGACAAGCACGTTCTTCTCTTTAACAAGATGACCAAAAAAAAAAGTGTGCCGTTAGAGTGACGTGAAAAGGAGGAAAAAAATAATCAAGCTCAATTTTCTTTTGTTACATGTATTTAGGTACATAGAAAAATGACGATGCTCAGCTCCCCCCCCCCCCCCCCCCCCCCAAAACACAAACACAAGCAACACAAGCAAGCAAACAAACAAACAATAAACAAACAAGCAAACTAACAAAAGGCAGCAATCGTTCAAAGTGACTTCAGGTTTTTTTTCTGTTATAGTGGAGGTATTACGGCGCTGGCAACTGCTTAAGGTCATATGAGCGCCAAGGGGTGTGTGTCAACAGAGAAGTCCTTACATGGAATCAGGCTTACTCTGCTCACCTCTCTCTAGCTTCAACAGCACAAAGTCTGCTTCGACTTCGACTGTCAAGGCACCCCGGAAATAGCGGGTGACAAGCAAACAAAAGAAGTAGTGGGAAAATAAGGAGAGTAAGGATTAGGAAAGAAAAAGCAGCAGCTCCATGTTGCCGTTCAGGCACAGTTGCGAGCATGACATTGATGAATCAGCCCATTTACAATTTACAATTCTACTGTGGTACTACTATGGTTAATGTCCTCCCTTTGGGAATGGCCTAAAGAGACTTCAGTCAGTAGCACCGCCCCGGGGGTGCGATTGACTTTATCGTAATTTAACATCAGGTTCGTCATATAATACAAAATAATACGACTCAGGGTTCATCACGATGTTAGAGCAGAGGCGAAGGCTGACAAGTTTGACAGAGTAGTTATCAACGTGAGACGAAGAACCAAATGCGAGAGGAGGCCACCCTCAGAAAGTTTTCCCACAATATTAACATAATTAACAAAACTTCTTATTAGAGTGGCATCATTAATTGGAAAAAAATAATAATAATCATTATTTCATGGTGCCAAAATAATCGAGAAAATATCTCATTTATTTAAATATTTATTTCCAATTTGGGCAAAACTTAGGCTATTTATCACTTTTAAACGTGCAGCGGGAATAATGGCTACGTGGTTTTTTTAAAAAGCAAATTTAACTAAAGATGCGAATATACAGAGGTCAAAGAAGCAGAGATAACAATGGTACACACGTATCTTCAATGTGATTTTAGATTTGGATGGGGTTTTTTTAGCTTTAAGCAGCAAGGAGCCGATGCCATAATCATGCCAGACCACCTAATTACAGGGCGCAAAAAAATCTAAGAAAAAATAAACACTCATAGTAGTCTTGAGATCAGTATGGTTTACTTTTTGAGGAAGGCTCTGCCACTTTGATTGTTAGCTTACATAATCGGTGCTTGTAATCGCTTAGGTGTTGTTCGAATAAATATAATCTTACGCCTTTTTGGGACTTTTTGACCCCCCCCCACTGACATACTTACATTTGCGCCTCTTCCCGCCCCAAATCTCGTAATGTTACTTTGTTTGCTAATAATAATAATAATATGGCATTTTATGTCGAGCAAATCCGTGTTACAATCATTGTTCTATGCGCTTAACATAATTAATATTTATTTTTAAAATGCATACACACATACATGGACATAATATATGCAATTCTATATTCACTAAAAAATTACAGAGTAAATCACTCAAACAAAATTGTATACACTCTTTCTTACTAATAAGGTAAACATTGAGACTCACGTCAATATCAAAGGCGACATTATTACAAATAAAACAAAAAATTTTTTTCCAGGAGTAAGATTGTATTTTAAAGTCCCTTTATGAGAGTGAACCAAAAGGGGTGAAAGGTATTCATGTGGTGATGAAACAGTTTTGAGTACACTGCTCACCATGAATTTCCTGAATGTTTATTTGATTATTTGATGTTATGTCTATCACAGTCTATGGGTTAATCTGACAGGGACGACGTTCCCAAATTAAGAAAGGGAAACAGTGGTTATTAATTTGATATGTAGATGCTTCCCCCTGCGTTAGAGTAACTGCAAACTCATATTTTCACCTCATCAAACATACCGTAGATCTGTGTATAGATTTTGCTTACTGTCTCGGTGAATGTATACATGTAGTTCTAGGCATATTTTGGAATTCCTGATCAGAATCCAGTTAAATAACAACTCAATTTTTTTCTCATATTTTTGTTTGTTTGTTCGTTTTTGTTACTTTTTTGGGAGGGGGGGGAGGGGGTGGAATTGTTTGGATTTGTTTAAGCACAAGGACATAATTTAGTTTAGAACTCAAACAGAGAACTGCTGAATAGGGAGCTCTATGACATTTGGTTCTCAACACGCTAGGCCAGCGAGGTTAAACTGGTGGTTAGGAGCATTGCTTGCGCTATCCGTGTCTCAAAACTATTCATAAAAGTGCTTTATGGCATATCTGTGCAACGATTACACCTTGGGAAAGTTTATGTTTGGAATGACTTCATTTAATTGAGCCCCCACCCCAACCACCGCCCTCACACTTATAAAGTTCAATGCCCTTAGGACCAAAAATGTCCGTAGTCATTCCCTACTGTTGAAGATTTCATGGCAGGAGTGTATGAGCCATATAAAGTTCTGAAAGCCTCCAGTAGCGTCTTGCTAGCAAGTTATAGCATGCCACATGAAATCTATTTATGACTTTTAAAAAACTTATCACGCTCGAGTAACCTCATAGGACGTAATGGGATTCGCCCCCACACATGACGTCATAACTCTAAGTAGGGAAAGTTTGATCCTGAACTCGCCCCACCCCATTTTTTTTGTTGTTGTAAAGGAACAGTTTAAGTAATGGGTGTAGCAGGGTATCAAAACTGGTAAAAGATCACTCTCACCTCTGAGTATTGTCATTGCGTGTAGGCCTATAAAAATGCATGGGGTTTTTTTTTTCTATATTCGAAGCACAATGTTATTGTTACTCCTGCTCGTCACAGAGAGGTAGGAATAGGACTTCAAAAAGGATGCAGTAGCAAACCAATGACTAAAATGAAATTTTTTAAACATCAGTAAGTGGTAAGGGTAAGACTTTTCTCTTGACAAAATGTACGGCCGTAGTTTCCCCCCTTGCAAATTCTTCTTTCACACGGCTTCAGCGTTGTAGGCCTAGTTTATAGTTTGTCTTTTCCCTGCTTTTACGGCGCTCGCAAAACTAGGCTAACGTAGTTAGACAACTATTTAGCATTCTCTCGCGGCTCCGACAAAGACTGAGCACCCCCCAAACACACACACACACACACACACACACACACACACACACACACACACACACA